AGTAGTAGTAGTAGTAGTGGGAGTGATGGTAGAAATGATAGTATTTTTGTAGCGATAGTGATAGTACTTTTACTAGTCATGGCAATGGTAAAAGAAGTAGCAAGCATAAAAGTGCTGGTATTAAAAAAACAGATTGGCCACTGTCTGGCAGAAAGCTCCTTCTGACCCTTATAGTAGTATTAATATTCGTATTAGTATTAGTATTAGTATTACTAATGCTATTACTTGCCTGGCTCAGAGGCTTGGGCCATCGCTGGATGCATACTTCAAGCACTGCGGCTCTTTTAGTCTGAAGACAACCTTGACAGTTGCCATTCAGACTCGAGGATGCAAGGAGCAAGCAGGCTTCGCAAGCTCCAGTGTTGTAATCCACGGCTTTCAGAACCTTGAATAGCTTTGTTTTGGGAGTCAGGGGTGGGGGGCTTCTGTCCCGAAGCCCTAAACCCTATACCCTAAATAGTAGTTTCCGTTTTTCCAACTATCCTTATATATCCCCCTGTATCCCTCTATATCCCACTGCGTGTTTTGTGCAGACCTCAGGCCAGGGGCTAGATTGGGAGTGCTTCTTTTGGCCGGCTGCTGTACTGCTAACTCTGCTGTACGGATGGTCCTAGGGGCCTATAGTTCCCCTTAAGTAGATAGAACATGGGGTATATTCTTGGGGTTATATTGGGATAAGGAAAAGAAAATGGAAACTACTATTTAGGGTTTAGGCCATACACTCCTTGTAAAATTTGGTCATAGGGTATTTCAGTCAAACATCAGGATGCTCTTGTGAAGTCTCCCGGCCACTTCGCTATATTCAGCAGCAGCTTGTCCAAGCTGAGGATAATTGACCGCCTCGAGTATGTTCACAAACGCGGCATCTTGTACAGAGACATCAAGCTACTGAGCTGCAACATTCAGACGGCTGCTGCCCGCATCCTAGTTGTTTATCGAATAGGAGGTTGTCTCTATGGACTCTTGTCGGATTCCCACTAGAATATTGCAAGTATATATGTGTTTGATACTCCAGCCATCCACAGTCCTAATCCGCAGACCCTAACCTCATCAAACCCTAAACCCTGAATTCCTTATCGCATCTATTATTTTTAACACGTGCCTCCTTCAGGCTG